ATACGATGAACTGGACGCCGGCCTCCAACGGATTGCGGTTTTCACATACCGCCCCGCTGCCCTGCGGGTTAGGCTTTGGCTAGCCAAAGGCTCCGGTTGTGCGTTCCTGAAGAAAATTCGCCTGACTTAGCCTGGGCAACTTGGCAGCATTCAACTCACATGCAGGCCAATTGAGTGAATCAAAGACCGCTTTCTGGTCTAGAAAGATATAAATGGTGTGCCTACGGGAAACAGTTTATGGTTCAGAACATGGTTGAGGGTGAATATTTGGTCAGTGCCTCATCGACCAGGTTCAAAAGCGATCGTATTGATCGGAACACATGCACTGGTTGTGTACAGAAGCCAATCGACGAAATATGATACCAACAAGAAGGATAGAGAAGGTGTTAGTCAAACTAGCTTCGTCATGGATTTCTCGAACGATTTTTTTCCTTCTTTTAAATCGATGAGCGGATCGATTCAATCCATTCGTTCGAAACTGTTTTATTTCTCATACCGAGCCGAGTATTTTTCTCAAGACCACGAATATGAACCCTCATGGATGAAGGCAACTACGGAGTACCAAGACCCGTTAAACTGTGCCTTTAAAAGGCATTATTTTTGTTGTTCAAGATGACAGTGCTGTAGTTCAATCTCTGTAAAATAACTGGTTAACTAGCTGACCTATATCCATCTCTCGTGATACGTCGCTTCAGACTCAAGGGAAAAGTTTACAATCGTTATCAGTAGTCGAATGATGCACAATTCCCTTGTATTGTGCCGCGCATCATTCCTCTTGATGTATGGAATTTTGTGGGACCTAGGCATAGTGTCATACTTGCCTTTTTGAGTGAGCGTCCAGTGACGTAATGAAGGTGCGGCAAATCAATCGTTTGCGTTTGCATGACCAATCAGAACTCATGTTGGAATAGTTTCTTTAATAACGTTTTAATGTTGATTGAGTCCCTCTGGAGTTGGTTGAGGAACACATATGCACTACGAAAGCTCATTAGTAACTTGTTTTCAAGAAGACATGAGTATCTGTTCCCTTTGTCTTAGATTCCGTTATCTACCATGCTTAGACGGGATCAGTCTTAT